CTTCCGATCGCCCAGATGAAGCGTTTGCTTGGGTACAAGCCGTTTATGCTAAGGATCAGTCGTTGGAAGGTTTGCGGGATCCAGGCAAGTTTCTTACACTAGATACCAAACTGTTGTCCGCAATTTCCAAGGTGGTGAAAGGCGAGCTAGCACGCCAAATTGTAAACTACAAGGAATCTGAAGCTGCTCATGCAAGGGCTGTACGGGGCCGTCAGGTGCTTTACATGTTTGAGCAGTACTTTAAGACCAACGAAGAGGTTGGGGCCCTCTACTCGGTTGAAGACCTTCTCAAGGTCAGCTTGATCAACGATGACTTGAGCTCCTTTATTCACAATTGGGAGTCAGTTATCGGGCAGGTATTTCCCATGTCCCAGAAGAATTGACACTCAGGGATATCTTGCTTAGGCAGATTCGAGGTTCCCACAAGCTGAAGTATGATCTGGACACGTATGACCGTGCTAAGGAAGGTACCGAAACGCACACCTATCAGTTCCTCCTCAGCTCCATCAAGAATCTTCTCACGCGTAATAATTCCCCAAGAGATCTTTCAAAGGTACCATGCAAGTTCCGCAAGATTGGTCGCTGTACCGAAGGTGCCAACTGTAGGTTCTCGCACAGTAAGCCTGCCTCACCAGCCAAAGGCGACAAGCAGAGACCCCCTTCTCCTGCCAAGCGCAGGAGGAGCAACAGTAGGAAGAAGAAGAAGGGCGACAAGCCAGCAGCATGTTGTGTTCTAGTAACAAGTAACAAGGGTCAAGTCAGAAGCCACCCGCGAGGGTGAGCCACCGACCTGTGTTACTAGGCCCGGCTACGCTGCAGCTGCCCGCAAAGGCGAGCCCGCTTCCTCTGACCGCTGGGAACACAAAGCCAAGGAAGGGATTCTCATCCGCCGCCACGTCGCTCCGAGGTCAGACGGGTTTATCCCGACCAAGGACTCGCCAGTGCCTGTGCATTGCGCGAGGTGGAGCTTGAGGCCGAGCCTGCTGCAAGCTCCCCGCGAGGGGATGCCTCCAACTTGGACGGTGCCGGCGAGGGCGAGGACATGTTCATCGAGGAGATGTATGGCGCTCCGCCACTGGAGGAAGAGATCGTCTTGCGAACGGCGAGGGAAACCTTCCACTTTCGTGGAGGGGAGTTTGTCCTGCACGATATGCCCCAGGACACTCTCAAGAAGCCACGCAAGCGTCTCTGGTTTCATCACGGTGATCTGGTGTTTTTCACAGGCCTAGTGCGTGGAAATTTCACACGCGACTTCCCCGAGCTCAAACATGATGAAGGTCTTTGGGTCAGCGTTGAGAAATGCCTCGATGTGTTCAACAAGACCCGCAGACGTCATTGGGGTGTCCGCCAAGTGATCCAGATGGTGGCAGAAGACCGGAAAGGCAGGATGGAGATAAGGGGGATAGACATTCAGAGGAAGGACGCCGTCGACCAAGCCTACTTCCTCGTGATCATCTGTGCCACGCAAGGTCACAATGCGAGCGTCGCAAAGAACCCCGACACCGACTTCGCGCTTGCTTCCTCCTACTACTCCACCCTGGACAAGACGGAGGCCGACTCAGCAGCCACCCGCGAGGGTGTGCCTATCGTCTGTTTGGAGGACGTGCCAAAGATCCTCTACCACAGGACGACCCGAGACAGCTTCCAAAGCATCCCCCACAAGGGCTTAGTGGCAGGATCCCAGGGCAGTGGCAGAGTGCACAATTATTTCGCCACGTGTCCCGTCTCGTCTGAGGAGTACAGGTCTGGCGTTCGAGCATACGCACCCATTGAGATAAAATGGGATACGGAAAAACTCCTCAGGAGCGGATGCCTTCTCTTCACCACTCGCTCCGAGGGCGTGCTATGCCGTGAACCCTGCGCTCCAGCCGCAATTATTTCGATCATCGATACGGTCAAGGAGGAGGTGCTCTACTCCCTACGTCTCGATGATGCTCCGGAGATTCCGAGTGGCTCAGCTGGATCTGCGTAGCCCGTGGGTGAGGTGCCGCAGCCAAGGACTCCGCCACCCACGCACATGACCGTGGAGGACGTTGCCGCTGGTGTCCCCGAGGCGGAAAACCCCTTTACAATGACGGGGCCGTCAACGTTTCCGTGCCCAACGTGCCAGGCGGAGTGCTTCGTGGGGCAGCATCACTGTCTCCGTTGCCGGCATCGCCTTGCAGATTCACGTGGGGAGGATCGTCGCTTCATCCAGGCTGCTCAGCGCCGGAACAGGATCCTGGACCGTCTAGCAACCGTCGGGGTGTCGGTCCACAACATCAGCCCCTACGAACTGCAAAAGCTGGCGAAGCACACCAAAGATGAGGAACGTGGGCAGATGAGTTACGAAGCTCACACCATCCGCAAGGCGAAGGACAAGGTCCAGCGTGCCCTCAAGATCAAAGGCACCAACTACAGGAACTTGGCGGACCGCTTCGACAAAGATCCGACTTTTGCAGCCCGGCAAGCGGAAAATGGCCTGACGCGCATGGATATGCGTCGTCTCCAGGTCTACGCCACCGGCTTCTTGCCAGCACCCGGACGCACCCGCCAACAAGTCATCCTCGGGACTGGAAGCCAGGCCGATTTCCACGCCTCTAGGTCAGAAGTCAATGCCAAGCTCGTGATCTATGAAGGCGTTGGCATCGAGGAGCTGCAGGCCTTGGGATTGGCGGATCAGCAGATGAGCGTGAACATGGGTGTGGGCTGGCATGGCACTTTCATGGATGTTGCCACGTTTGCGGGGTTGGCCCTCGGCAACGAGGATGCCCGAAGGTGCTCACCTTCAACGGCCTCGTCAACCTGCAGGCCAACAACCTCGAGGCTCTCAAGACGGAGATCAATGAGCTGATTGTGGCCAATCATGAGGCGGCCAAGGCTAAGGCTAAGGTCAGGTCCGACCAGCCGGCCCGTGCCAGACAGTCCGAAATTTCAAAGGCCAAGTCAAAGGCTGGTCCAGCTGCTGTTCGTCCGCAATGGTCTGAAGCAGACTGGAACAAGTGGCATTACGGAGGTTATCACGGCCGCACATGGTATTCGGCCGCCGAATGGCGCCGGTACTGGGGCCACTAAATGCGTAGCATGATGCAGCGAGAGACCATGTATGATGATTTCAGCTTGCTACACTCGCCATAAAAGCACACCTGAAGCTACCCGCGAGGGTATGCCTGTTTCTTTTGAGTGCTAGTGTGCGCCTTAGTGCTCACGCACACGGCGAGGGGGGTGTTTTGGCACTCCGAGTAGTTTAGCTACTTTTGAGGCTACTTATGTAAGCTAAGAGCCTACTTGTTGCGGTCCTCACTTTCCATGCTTGTTGCTTAAACGCTTTGAGTTTGCCTCCGCA